AGCCTAATTAAGTAACCACCAAGATCACTTCCACCAACACTGAAGGGGAAACCTCTAGTCTAGTATATCAAATGAGAGCAAATCCTACTCCCCTATTAGTACCGATGATGTTATATAGTTTGATAATGAATTGTCTGCAAGAGAACAACCAAGCTCAGAGAGTACCAAGGACCTCACAGAATAAAACTTCATTTTAAAATATTTTCAAATGAAGAAAAAGAGAACAATAATCCCTATACTCTCTCTCTTTCTCTCTCGTGCTAAGAGCACAAATTGTGCCTATTAATTAAGTTCTATTTATAATGTAAAAATAGTGGTACTTGCTTTAATTTTAAAACCAATATGATGAAGTTAGTAATGTCAGGATTGGATGCAATGGTGTCTACAAGGGAGATCCTAGACTAGAGACAAATCAACAGTTGTGGCATCATGATGAAAGTGTGTCCTTTTGTACACAGATGCAGTGTCAACACACAAAAAGGCTTGAATTGCAATGCCACATCTGCCATCATGTTTCTTTTCAGTTCCCCCCTCCTTCCAGGATGCCCTCACTTTGGGCTAATATCACCTCTGTTGTATCTAAGCCAAGCATTAATCCCTATCATTTGGAGTCCCTTCAGTTAGGTCAGAAAGCAAGTTTCCATTTCTGTTCAAATAATATTCATACAATACTTTAAAGCTCTGCAGGGCACTGTGGAAATTACAGTCAAAACCAAAACCCTTGGTCTATGAAAAAATGGTCTTCCACGAAACCAGTCCCTGGTGCCAAAAAGGTTGTGGACCATTGCCATACACAACCAGATTGATGCACAATTATATGAGTCAATATGCACCATTAGTGGGATTATTCGGTCTACTCTCATATATTAGTTGCCTGCACTGAGTCATGTACCACCTCTGGAAGTTAGTCAAAAAATGCCCTCCTTCAAGAATACCCGAAGATTATTGATAATTATACTGAGCAACAGTAGCCTACCTGGAGCGAAATAGGCTGAGATCTAGACACCTAGCCATCTCTACTGCTAAAGCACTTGTAAAAGATGATTTCAACACTCACATGTGGAAACAACATTGAATAGAAAAGTGCCCCTCCCCCAATGTAGAAACTTTTCCTGCATGTTGGAAAAACCAGAGCCCCATGTGATATAAATAACATTGAACTGATTCGCATTGGTCATGGTAGTTGTACATATGCCCTTTACAAGTGGGGCAAAATACCCATCACTGAATTGTGACTGTGGGGCCAAGAAACAAACTATTCAACACATAGTGACAGAGTGTCACAACAGAACCTCTAATGGAGATTTCACTGATTTTCTGGCTGCCAATCAAGAAGAATCATCAAGCCTGTCTTTATTCATTAGTTATACAACATATTTTAATCGTTTCTGCACTCATTTCAAGCTACCTCTTCAAATTTGCCCAAGTAAAATAAAGGAAACTTGTAGGAAAAAGTGATAATTTAAAATTTTTATCTAGATTGGATATTAGCCTATGAAACATAATGTCCTTATCTGTCATTCCTCCTTTTGCTAAGTATACCATACAGCTCTAAAATATTTCTTTGCATTATTGATCATTCACGCCAGAGTCATTTTTTAGACAAATCCATCTTTTTCAAACCAAAACTTGAGGAAACATTAATATGTAAATCACTTGCCTTAAAAATTCATATCTGCATCTTTGAAATGCTGATAAAATGTAAAATCAGCTTTTCCTTTGCCCACATTTCTTAATGTTACAGAAAAAGAATGATTCTTTACATTAAGGAAACCCAAGAGGAAGACCTAATGCTTAATGAGTTTCTATAACAAAGACATACCTCAAGATTTTAAAAAAATCTTATACTTTACTTATATATTTTCCCTTTTTCATTATTTACTATTTCCCATTCTGATACTATGGACTATTTAGGCTATCTGTCTTTTTATTTGTAAAAATCTTTAAGAACTTTTTATAAAAATCAACATTTTTAAATTAAGTTTCATTCTGGTTAAAAACCATCTCGCTAGATGAGACAATGGAAAAGCCACGACTACATTACATACATTGCCACAAATACTAACAAGTTCAAAGAAAATGTTTACCATATTAAAAAGAAAAACATTGAAATATTTTGTTACCTATTATTCTTAAAAAAATAAGATACATTTTGTGCTTTACCACTTTGTCCTGTCCCAATGTTCAGTAAAATAGAACAATAATTAAGATAAAAATTCTTCATATGGATTCTAAAAGTTTAGGGAATAAAGTACCCTTTAAACTATTTCATAAAAATGCAAAATGTTGCATTTTCTACAATAAAGTGCTTTGGGAAATAGAACACCGATAGTGGAAACAAATGCCTGTCCTTTCCTAATTTATAATTGCTTTTGATTCTAGAATGTTTATTTTGCAAAAATGGGACTGATAGGAAATAAAATAAAACAAAGTGCAGTCAAATATAGTCAAATAAGAAAATAAAAGGGGTGAAAAAAGCAATTGGCACAAGATTGCTTTCCAATGGAGAAGAAACAATCACAGCTTTTTAAGTCCATGCTGCTGTAACTTCATGTTAATTAGTACCGTATACCCTAAAGGCCTATGTGCTGCATTCAATTGATGATATGCCCGCACAAACAAGCATAGCCGATTCATGAGTTCAGATAAAACATGATGTTCAGCTGAGAATCCATTGAAGAATTAACAGATAGGTTGCATGCATGTATGAATTTTTTTGTTTGCAAGTCAATGTAACTTTGTCTTGATGTATACCAAGGTCCCTGAAGAAATGTATTATTGTATAATGATTATTATTGGACAGGATGCTGGTCACTGGATTGATTTAAATTGATATCTGTATGTTTGTTAAATCATCTTATTAGAACAAGAACATGAGCTTCTCACGGTTATAAAAAACACTTTAAAATATAACCACAAAAATGTTGCTTGCTTTTTTAAAAAAAATAGGAAAGCATTTTCCTATTTACATCTTTCAAAAGGATTACTGAACAAAGAATTGGGGATTTTTGTCAGGCTCAGTGCATTCTTAATCATTAAGTTCAATGTCTTCCATTTCTAAAATACTTTCTGTGCTTGTTTCTGTTATTTGCACAATAATCTGCAATTGAAACGCAAGCACAATAACCCACTTGAGAAAAAATGGACATTAAAAACCCATCTGTTTCTGATAGCTGCTGGAAAAGGTACGGGTTTTTTTTTTTCATCCTCCCAAATATCTGTCCAGGTTGAAGTCCCTCTCTTACCCTCTGAGGTCTGTATTGACCCCTTTGGAAATTCCATTGGTTTTAGACCCCTCGGGGGGTTCAGCTTTGGGGCTGCCGCTCATGCTACAGGAAATGCTGCACTCTGTTTTGGTAACTGATCAAGCACACTAACACTTACATCAAGATAAGGATTATGATGCCATCAGTCATTGTCAGGTTAATGACATAAGAAATGCCCTTTCAATGTACCAAATTACATGGCCAAAATGTAACAAAATCTCAACGAAACTTTGAAAGTTTCCCTTAGGTGCTGATGAAGAAACAGATGCTCAGATATTTTGATGGAGGTGGAAAAAGCCAAGAACATTAGGCTTGTCTGAGAGAAGAATATGGGAATGGGATTAAGCTCATTATATCTTTGAAAACCTAGATTATCAGAGGAAACAAGTTAAGACAGTAGGTAGTTGTTCTTAGTCTTGAGAGAAGATCAACCTAATTCAACAGAACCAGGGGTGGGATTCAACCGGTGTTACTACTGATTCGGTGCGCACATGTGTAAAAAAAAATTAAGCTGTGCTGTCTGGAGAGCTGAAAAGCGCTACGCGCGGGTGCGCAGCATTTGGAAAGTTTCTTTTTTCCTGCTTTTTCAACCTCAGCTGTGCCACGCAAAGCAGCTGAGGATGAAAAAGCAGGAAATAAAGGACAGGTAAAAGCCCGGGTGGGCAGGTCGGCCAAACAGCAGCAGCCACAGAACTGGTTTGGTGTCTGCTGCTCTTCAGAGCTACCAGTTTTTTTAAAACTGGGCAGAACTGGTAGCATCCCACCCCTGAGCAGAACCTTTACTTTATATGATTAAATAATTGTACATAATTGTCCTTCCAATTTAATTTAGGTCTATTAGTAACTTGTATGTAGTTAATCAGCTTATTAGAAAAGGACTTGTGTTTCTACCATGAAGTCTTAGTGCTCTTTCTGCCACTCCCATTCTGAGTGCAACCTAAACTTACTGCAACATTTTAGGAAAGTGGGGATGTAACACGTAATATTTTACTCATGATAGGAATTGATTATGTGACATGAGTATTGTTGATAGTGGTTTTGTACCAAAGGCCATAAGAGACTAGGAGTTTTGGGAGGGCAAATCTGCTTGTACAGGCAGTCCTCAACTTATGACCACAATTGTGCCCAAGATTTCTCTTGCTAAGCAGGTTTTGTCCCATTTTACAATCTTTCTTGCCACAATTGTTAAGTGAATCACTCCACTAATAAGTTAGTAGCACAGTTAAGTGAATCTGAGTTCTCCATTGACTTTGCTTGTTAGGTCACAAAAGATGATGTCATGACCCAGGGCACTGGAACTATCATAAATACATTCCAGTTGCCAAGCGTCCCAATTTTGACCATGTGGGGATGCTGCAATGATCGTGTGAAAAATTGTCATAAGTCAGTGCCACTGTAACTTCGAACAGTCACTAAATTGAATGTAATATTGAAAGTCAACCTGTACTTTCTCCAGTGGTTGATAAAATATATACTAATTTATGAGTTATTTCTTCCTCAAAGGATTCATAAATTAGGAACAAATATGTACATGAAGGGAAAAATGCACGTGTGACAAATACCAAATCAACAGGAACAACTCTACCTCTCACCTACTTTATCAGTATTTTTAAAAAAAATCTTTTAAACATCATAGCAATAACTAAAAATTGATTTAAATCATCCCAAGGTAATATGGCTTTTTGTGATAATAAAAGAAGACTGAGGAGGAAAATATAACTTTGCTACAGGCAGTTCAGTGGGCAAGTAAGTCCTTTTAATATACAAAAAACGTTTTTGCTCAGCAGCATCTGTTTTCACAAAATTACTGAAATTCATTGTGTAAGTTTGAACTAAAAATTTAATACACACAAATGTATATAACTGAAAGAAGCTGTTGCTCTTCAAGGATTTAACTACCCGTGCTGAAATATGATATATTAACAGAATAACCTAAGCAACAGAGTTCATTTCACTATCTCACCTCTTTCCTTTTTTAAAAAGGCAACTGGAAATCCTAAAAAAAAAAAATCCATAAAAAAAGCAAATTGAATAAATACATCATCTTAAAAGTGAATAATTTTATTTATTTTACATATTATAATGAAAATTAAACTAGATTTGCAATATCCATTCTAATCTTGTGAAACCTTAGACTTATGATACACAAGTCTACTGCTATGATTCATGTATGTATGTACTGCTTGATTTCTTAACTTTTTTGTTCTTTTAAGATGATTGTAATTAATAGGGATAACAATGGAGATTAAATCTTATAGCCAACTCCCATCTTTGTAATTGTTAATTTCAAAACAAAATGTGAAACTGAGACAAGTTCAGTACCCATTTATGCTGGCTGGATTCAGACTGAGGTATTCTTCAGATCTCTAATATCAATTAAGTCGAAGCAGAATTAACTTAAGATTTACTGATTTAAGTGGTCTACTTTTAATACAACTAATTTGATGCAGGATTGTTAGCTCAAAACTCAGGTATAAGAAACTGAAAACTGAAAAAACTGATAAAGAGAAAAATTTGTTTTAATTATTTTAAATTTATATTATTTTCTCAGAACTAATGGTCAATGTAAGCTGAAATTGAAGTTCTCTATGCACGCAATGTGTAGTATTTATCATTTTGTATTATAGAACAAAACCTCAGGTTCTATCATTATAACAAAAGACAAACTGGACAATACCAGGTCTTCTTTAAAAGTAACCTTTTCAATTGTGAAGGGCATCCAAATTAAAAAAACACATTTGAAATTACTGCATTATATTCCTTACTGTTTCATCTATAAAAACTTGCAAGCAGACTGAATACCAATCTGGCTCGTAGGCAAAACCTGTTCCAAAATTCATCATGAAAACAATGATGAGCTTCCATACCAAAGTGTGTGTCAGAGTAATATTTGTTTATATTACTATTAGTGAAATGAAATAGTGTTTCCATGCAGTTATATTCAGTTCCATACACAGGTTTTTTTTTTGCAATGAGAGCATTCAGGTTTTTTTTCTAACGTTAAAACTAACCATGAGATGAAAGAATGAATGCACATTAGGTTTAAGTGTCTGTTGAAATTACGAACTAAATGAAGATGTAGAGCATTCATGATCTGAAGCAAACTGAAGCATCAACTGTAAGAAATGAAATGGTCCTTTCCAGCATGTGACTGATTCACATAATAGGCACTATTGCAACTAATGAAAAGTTATAATATAAAATTGACCATTAATATATACATCTCAAAGATTTTGATTCCTCAAGTATCTAGTACACAAAAGATACTATCACCTTCATCTGTTTCAAAAACATGTTCTACATCAAGTTTTATTTCCCCATGTCCTTCTTGCAACTCATCCAGAGAAGCCAGGGCTTCATTTGTGTCACTTGCAAAAGTCTCTCGGGAGGCATCGTCATATTCCTGAAGATTAAGTCCTTTAATAGCTTGCTTCATCTTTTTGCCCAGCACTTGAAGTCTCCTCTTCTTCGCAGCACATTTGTTCTCATACTCCTTTTGATTTTCAATATAGAAGATTTCCTTTAAAGAGAATGTTAATACCCCATGAAGTGAGAAGAAATAATAGACAAAAGCAGCTTTCACAAAACACCAACTGCCCTAACCAACTTTTAGAGCTAATCAGGGCAACTTAAGAAAGAACCCTCAAGTTTTTTTAAAAAAAGCCATTATTTTTTCAAATATAGCTGCAGAATTATTTGAAAATGTATTCTTCTCCATAGTTAAAAGAAAGCCTTGTTATAAAATAATAATTTTATAATAAAATAAACGCCTCTCCATTTACAATATTGAGAAAGAGAGTTTATAAAAAACTGTTGAGGACTATCTGTATTTCATGAAATCCATAAAGGAATGTGAGAAAATAAAGCCAAATTATTTTATTAATAAAACTTTTTAAAAGTTGCATAAAATTGGAATGTAGAAATTAATATTTACCTTGATTTGTTCACTGGTTATGCAAGGTGTGTTTTTCAGCAAGTTTATATAAACTCCCCCTGGAGTTCTTCTTCTAGAACCATCCTGAATGATAAAAAAAAAACCCTTTTAAAAGTAACAAGTGTAAAACATATCAAATGTTTTGTTGCTTTGAATCTGAAAACTTATCTGAGATACAATGAGAATAGAAAATATTAGTTACCTGTAAAAATATTAATAGGGCTTTATATAATTATTGAAAAACTGACTGTATAAACTGAAAAAATATTGTTTGAAGAGTTAAAGGTTTCAAGAAAGTAGCAAATCAGTTAAGATTATGGTTTCTCCCTATTTTGTTTCTAGTGAGTGTTTCTGGCAAGACAGTGATGTGTTACAATGCTATTTAATTTCTCTAGCTTTCAAAAATTTATGAAACCAATACTTGTATTTAAAAAAACCTAATGTTTTGGAGAGATTAAAAGTTAAATTTGGAGATCTCAGAGAGATTTCTGCTTTGGCTTCTTTTGCAACTATGCAGATTTCCTTCAGACAGCCTGTCAACTCTGATTTCTATAGAAGCCATTATAGCTGGGAGTGAGATTTTGAATGAAAAATTATCCATACATCACTTCATGAGGTCTGGCTAAAACCCCAACCCAAAAGGGAAATACACAGACAATAACTCTCCTTCCTGTAATTAATTCCATCAGATATTTCTATCTAAGATGTGATGAATTTTGGATTCTGGTAATGTTACACACAATAACCTGCCACCTCTTAGAGTATACTGACAAAGCAGAACACATAAAGAAAAAAAATGATATTAACAAAAAAGTTAAAAGACCCCCCCCCCCCCAAAAAAAAAAAAAAAAGAATTGAAACAAATGAGAAATCAAGTAGTTAGCCAAAACAAAACAAGATATTAAAGAGCTGTTGGCTCGTCAGGAGCTCTGGAAAATATCTAAGGTCCTGTATGTGAAAGAAAAAAAACTGCCTTATCAATTTTCATTATTTGGAACATAAATACACTTTAATAGATGCAGAAGTAAAATGCCTTCAGGAGCTGCTTCAAATAAACTGTAATGATTGGATTGACACAGTCCCTTGGATTCATGATCTCCCAATCCTCTTGTCATATATTTGCAGGTCCGAATGAGATAGAACATTATAAGCAAATGTAATAGTCCAAATGTTGGATTCTGGAGGAAAGAAATCTCACTTTATTTCTAAAATTGTCTCAGGCATTTAAAAAAATGTGAAGAGTTTCCCTGAACAAGCCCATGGCCAAAAAAAAGGTAAGGACATTGTTTTGACATTCTGCAATTTTGGGCTTATTCCTGGATCCTGGTGGAAGGCAACTCAGCAACTTAGTTACCTTAGGGAACTACAGAATTATCCCAAAAGCCTGCCAGGAAATGATTTTATGGTTTGAAGGGTAAATTATATATTTAATATAAGGAGTGTGTACTCTTCAATTATATTTGTTATTTTCTTCCTTCCTTTTTTATTTTTGTAGCTTTGGAAGAGTTTCTGTGTTCTTGGCACTTACCAGGCTAAAGTCTATGGTTTAATTTTATTTTAAAAATAGTTTTTTAAAACTATTTCTTTGTTTATTATTTGCAGTTCCATGTAATTCTATATATAGTATAATAGTTATACTAATCAGAATTTTGTGTGCTTCATTTTTTCTATCTCTGATACATTCTTTAAAGCTTGCCTATTAAAAAGAGGCATTTTCACTATTGAATATTATAGTGTTTGAAATGAAATTATGATTTTCTGAATTTTCAAAAATTTGTATATAGATATGGAACCTAATTATTTTCCGTTGCATTTCTTAAAATGACAACATTTGCGATATGAAAGCATTGAGTGGCAGAGAGAAGCAGAAGTAGTTTTTTAATAAACTGAACATGATCAAGTCTGAAGGATATTTTTTGGTTAAAGCATGTCCTCCCTGAGGAATTATTAGTTAGAAACTGGATCGATCATGTATTATATGTATATAGAAACACAAAATTTCCTTGCAATAAGCTAATTTTGAAAATTAAAACATATGAAAATTTTGAGTCAGCTTACCCATAGGTGGCATATTATCCATGGCATTTTGATTAAAAATTATCCATAGGTTTTTTTTTTATGCAAGCATATATGGCATATCATTAAACCGAATACCCACATGTCTGCATGAAGACATTCCTACCCAGAAATGGCACTTTTTTCCTTGATACTTTATTCTGATTTATTAATGGATCCAAAGTTAAAAGGAGCCTCCAGCAACATTTTTCTTGATTATGTATAATTTAGATATATAAAATACAAGGTTTATCTTTACTTGGACCTTAAAACTTTATCCAGCACCAAGCTGAAAATATAATTAATTGCCAAAGGGACAACAAAGATTTCTGGACACTAAAAAATCCTTTTTTTCATAAGCAGGAAGGGGGAGGAAAAGAATAAGGGCAGGATCTGGAAGGAGGAGACTGCCTGGAGTTCAAAAGAATCTAAAATTGGGGGACTTCCTGTTTGCCTGGCTTCGGTGACAGCAGGGATTCACGTTTCTCTGCAATCCCTGCTGTGCTAGCCGTCTTGGTGCCTCCGATCCTGACGGATTTGGAGGATAAGGCTGCCCTGTTGGGGTAGCTGAAGATAGGGGGTATCCAGATAGGGGTTGAGGGGTATTGCAGACCCCCTCCCCAGCCGGCAATAACCCCCTTTTCTCAAGGCGGTGAAGCGGCGGTCTCAATGGCCGCCACAAAGAAGCCGGCAACTGGATTAAGAATGTGCAGGAGGAAGAAGAAGGAAGTTTTAAAATGAAAGTCTTCTTGGCTGAACCGGGACCTTAAGGATATATTTAATGCCTGGAAAATTATTATCTTTTTGGATGCTATAATGTCTCTAATGGAGGTTTTCAGCGGCGAAGGGAAATGTTGAAAGAGAAAGTTACTCTCCCTCCCTTATGGAATTAACAAATGGACATGGAAAATCTGCTCTCTAACAGAAGGTAAAAATTTAAAGCCCTTTGTTACAAGTGGGAAGGGAGAGGCTTAGAAAAAAAAATCTTTTCAAGACTTTGTTGGAGGAGATGCTTTGAAAATAAAAAGATTAGAAGCAAACTGCAAAAAAGATTTAAAATACAGATTGGGTTTTTTTCCCTAATTGACTTTGTTGGGTATATGGATACACCAACCAGGTTTGGGTTGAATAAATATGTAAACCCAGGATTAAGTGTCTATGTAGCTTTAAGCAAGAAACTGCAATGTCATTGTGGGTGCGGTTGCAGGCAGTAATATAGGTAGGAAGGGAAACGTAATAGCCCCGGCTTCTGGATGCAGCAGTTTGAGTCACCTGCTTCTGGATGCACCTGGTTCTGTTCCTGGTCTGTTGCCTGCTGGAACGTCTATCTGCTTATTCTGGATGGCTACTGTGCCAGATACCATTTCAACTGAACACAAAGACTGTTTGCTTGGTGAGCTGAGGATTCAGCGTTGTCCTTGAGAGAAAGGTATCGGAAGGAGAAGATATTCAAGCAGATAAGAACATTGTACTGACTGTTAATAGACTAGGTAACTGGATTGATATACTGGATACTGACATATGGACTGAATGACACTTCTTAATCTCTGTGTGTATTAAATAACTATTTTAAAACCACAAACAGTGTTTTTGTCTCCAGTGTGTGTATACTCTTGGGCCCACTCTCTCTCTCATTTGCCTGCCTGGCTTGACTGCTGCTGCACACTCTGCTAGGGGGTTTATCCCCAAACACTAACAGACTTTACCCCAGAAAGAGAAACTGTAAAAGGAAGAAGTTTGTGCTTTGCCTGGACTGTTTGATGCCTTTGGGACTTTGGGATTTTGGGAAATTGTTTCAAGTTTGGAAGTATTTAACTGGCTTAATAACAAGAAGAGGATACAGAAAAAGAAGAAGAAAAAGTTTATAATGGCTCTACCTCTCGATGAACTTAAAAAACAGTATCTAAAAATAAGGAAAGAAGGCAAGGACGCTATGGGAGAAGCCCTTTGTTTTTTAGATATGGCGCTTGCTATGTGTCAGCAAATTAAACAACAGCTGGAAGAAGCGGAAGAAGAAGAAGCTATTTTTAATGAATTAAATAGTGTGATTAAGAAAGAAAGGAGAAAGAGAGGAGGGAAAAGGAAGGACTTAAGACATAAAAAAATATTTATGAAAGAGAAAAATAAGATGCAAAAACAATGTAATGCCAGAAAGCAAAAGGAAAGAAGAATGCAACAGAAAGGGGAAGCTAAGAAGGCAGAGGTTTGGACAGGAGTGGGTAAAAAGTCTAGGTGGGCCGAGAAAGAAAGGAAAAAGCTGGGGGGGAGTTATAAAGGTATAAAACAAGATGGGAAAAAGAAAATTTTTTTTTAGAGACGAAGGGTAACGTATGATTTTTTTTTTTTTTAAAAAAGGGGGATTCTGCATAGTACACATGATAGTATTGTAGTAGCTGTATTTGTATCAAAAATAGAAAATTAGAACTTTATAAGATTTAATAAAAGATTTAAATATTAAGGCACAATATTAAAATGTTTAATAATGAATGATTTTAAGTTTTAATAAAACATTAAAGGAAATGTTTAAAATATTAGTTTAATTATAGAGTTTAACGGGCTAATGTGTTGATTATTATAGATTTATTACTGTAGTATTTGTTTTTGAAATAGTAGAATGTACTAAGCAGAATCAGATTGGGACTTAGGTGTTATTTCAAATTTCAGTTTAGGGGAATGATAGAAAGGCATCATACTCTGATTAGTGATTTCAGGAGAAATTATTCTTTTTTATACTGGGAATGAGATAGATGTAAATGGGAAAATGGACAAAAGATATAAAAATATTGTTTTAAAGCAAGATGAAATATATAAGTGGGGAGGAGTTATACAGAAGATATAGAATGATAAATAAGATAGGTAATGGTATATAAGAAGAGCATGTATTTAATTGAAGTCCATACAAAAAGAGGTAATCTGGGGCCAAGTTACTTTCTACAAGGAAGTTTTATCTTTTTTGTGTTTTATATGTGTGTGTTTAATTGAGAATTATTAAAATCTTGGAGGAAGGCCAGATGAGAATAACTATAAACAAGCCAGAGGAAAATATAAATGTGATGATTGAATAGCAGATAAATTAGAAAA